AAAGGCCCATTTAAACCCAAATTATATCTGTCTCTTTTTTCCCTTCTGCTTCAGCAAATTAGGCCCCTAAAGATCAACATAAGCCAACCCAGAATCAGTTGGAACTAATAATATTAGCAGATTGCTTCAGATGAAATAAGCAGACGAAGTGAACCAAACCCTTCAGGGAAAGTCAAATATATGCAACACATTTTTAGGAATTTAAGCACACATGCTTCCAAAGGAAAATGTTTCCCCCCACGTTTTAGCATATGCTGTACAGTACTGAACTGTTGATAACAGATAACATGTACATATGAGGAGCATATAAAATTACATTACTCTAGAATATCCACTTGCCACACCTGCAGATGTAAAGAAGAAACAGAGCTGTGTATCAGGAACGTACAGTATTTCTGACAATGCACTCCAAAACCCTGGATGACCTAACTCAGTAGTTTCATGTAGATGTTAAATAGCATGGGGGATAAAATTGAAGCCCCCAGCACAGAATACTGGCTCTGCAGGGACAAATTACACTTTTCAAGCACCACCCTCTGGAGACATTCATCCCAATAGAATCGGAGGCACTTCAGAGCTGTGCCAATCCCCAACCTGGACAGCCACTCTAGAAGTATAGCATGGCTGATGGTACAGAAAGCTGCTGAGATCAGGGAAGATTAATAGAGACACACACTCTCTGTCTCTCAAAGCTCATCATACACCATGACCAAGGCAATTTCCATGTCAAAACGGGGCCTAAACTATGATTGAAATGGATCTAGAAAATGGTGGCCCACAACCACAAAATCAAGAACCTATATTCTTGTTCTTCAAAACAATATTTTGAAAAAACATATCTTATTATTTTTTATCCACCTTGAATCAGGCAAGTTAGTCTTAAAGGTATAATTTTGTCTCTTTTGCATCACCTTCCATTTGTAAATGGTGAATTAGTGATACTGTAGGATAGCCAGGCAGCTGCAGTTTTACCGTTTTCTCCCACTATTTGCATACTGTAGCTCCAGACATTAAAGGCAAGATGCCATGGCTCAAAATCTGCCTGGAAATCTCACTGTCTCATTTCAAATCCCAGCTCCTTTATTGGAGATAAGAAGGGCCGCTTGCAGTTAATCAGCAGCAGTACAGAAAGGCAACTGACAAATGATTAGAGAGGCTCTTGCAAGCAGCTCCTTCATGATTCTAGAACTTGGCCATGGCATGGCACTGGGGGGAGAAGATTCTGCTCAGGGCCAAGTCCCAGTGAGCCTGGCTCAAGCTCTGCATTTGCCATCTCAAAACCCTGGAAGTGGCAAGATGGCTGCCATCCAGCCTCTTCGTTCCAAGGCAGCATCTTCCGCATGGGCCCGGGGTACTGTTTCTGGGTTGGCGGAGTCTGTAACCTGAAGTGTCTGTAACCTGAGGTATCATTGTACAGTGGTACCTCTGGTTACAGACGCTTCAGATTACATACGCTTCAAGTTACACACTCCACTAGGCCAGGAGTGGTGCTTCGGGTTGGGAGCTTTGCTTCAGGATAAGAACAGAAATCGGGCTCCGGCGGCGCGGCGGCGGCGGGGGGCCCCATTGGCTGGGGTGGTGCTTCAGGTTGGGAACAGTTTCAGGTTGAGTGCGGACCTCTGGAACGAATTAAGTAGCATCTAGATAGCATCTAGCATCTAGATCAAGGGAAGTAATAGTGCCACCGTATTCTGCTCTGGTCAGACCTCACCTGGAGTACTGTGTCCAGTTCTGGGCACCACAGTTCAAGAAGGACACTGACAAACTGGAACGTGTCCAGAGGAGGGCAACCAAAATGGTCAAAGGCCTGGAAACGATGCCTTATGAGGAACGGCTAAGGGAGCTGGGCATGTTTAGCCTGGAGAAGAGGAGGTTAAGGGGTGATATGATAGCCATGTTCAAATATATAAAAGGATGTCATCTAGAGGAGGGAGAAAGGTTGTTTTCTGCTGCTCCAGAGAAGCGGACACGGAGCAATGGATCCAAACTACAAGAAAGAAGATTCCACCTCAACATTAGGAAGAACTTCCTGACAGTAAGAGCTGTTCGACAGTGGAATTTGCTGCCAAGGAGTGTGGTGGAGTCTCCTTCTTTGGAGGTCTTTAAGCAGAGGCTTGACAACCATATGTCAGGAGTGCTCTGATGGTGTTTCCTGCTTGGCAGGGGGTTGGACTCGATGGCCCTTGTGGTCTCTTCCAACTCTATGATTCTATGATTCTATGATTCTAAGACACAGGACGCGTTCTGCACTGTGCTACTAGCTGGCAGCGCGGGCGGACACAGGTCAGTATACCGGGGGGGGGGGGGGAGAGGACAATAGCATTAGGAGAGCCATTCCTGCTCAGCCTTAGCCACCCCCACCTGCCTCAGGGTTATAAGTGTATGCTCTAAGTGTATGTGATGTGAAAAGCACTATATGAGCATTAAGCTATATTATTAAGACAGTCTTGTAAATAATCCCACAAAAGTTACTAGCCCAAATACTAGCCTGCTAGGGCTTGGCAAAGGAGGTAGTGGGTGCTTTGCCCCTCCTCCGATATATTTCTATGCTCACTGCATAAAAAAAGACATTCCTTCTCCAGCAGCCCACCTGGTTTCTGTACTAGGCACTTCCCTGCATACAATTCCTTCCCACACACGGCTGCTTGGTGAGTGCTAAATGCAAGCCTCCCCTGCTATCCTTTTTGGTGCATCTTACTGGATGACGCTTGCAGAAGTTACTAGTGCATGAGTCCAGATGTACTCTAGTTGAGGGCCCAGCTTCTTGCCACATTCAGAACCATTATATTTGCAAACTTGACCAATTGCCCAAACCAGCTGTGCATACAAAGACAGCCTAAAGTGTGCAGGTAATGGAGTACCTTAACATGGGGGTTTCAGTAGTTCCCCAGGGAGCCTTGATTCTTTGAGGAATCTGGAAACTTGACCTCATTGCCCTTCCATTATAAGTGGATATATCAGGGGGTCTTTCTCTTAACCTCACTGTTATCTCTCCAGTTTGCTCTATTGAGATGGGTGAAATAATTGAGCATGCAGAGTCCAGGGCAGGTAGCTTTGATTTATTGATTTATTGGGAGTAACACACATTTTCCTCCAGGATGTGACACTTTCTTCAAGCCTTTAATTGTTGGACTTGAAGCACAAAAAAGCCCACATACAATTTGACAATATCACTGGTATGAGATTAGATTTTTTAAAAGATATATTATTTGAACACATACTTACAGTATATATGCATCAGCATTACTAATATTATCCATGGGTGCTTCTTTTCATTGCATGTACTTGCTTTATAGGCCACTTAATTTAATTTAGGCCTAGTTTCCTTACAGAGAATATTGACTCTGCAGCTGCCACAAGCATGAAAGAGAAAATTGTGGTTGGCTTCTTGCAGTCCTGTTTGAAAGACACTATAACAATCCCCAGGGAAAACTGAATGCGAGCTTGCTGGCGGAGGCTGAAATGACTGACTATTGTGCCTCAGGGCTGGTGCAAGTTAAGTGGCTGGGTTCCTATTCCTCCAGCTTTTGTTCCTGGGAAGCCTAGGGGAGAATAATTGCCCAGGCTTTGAGTCTCAACTTTCCAAGGCTGATAGCCTGCTTAAATTAGACTGCTAAAATGGAAATTAAATTTATCACTGTTATTTTCTATCTCAATATTGGATCCGAAGGTGAAGTTGAATCTGAAACTTTCATTACGCTATAAATGTCATGTACAGGTTTCTTAAACAATACGTTTTCCCTCTGAAAACCCTTTCAGTTTCAGGGGTGGGTGAGCCCAATTGTCTGCAGATGTTGATCTGCATGATTTTAGAGTGACCAAACACAAATAGCTGTCCTGCTATGTCTACTTGAAATTGCCCTGGACAAGTTGGAGTGGGAAGGGGGCGATGAGGTCCCAAAGGGTGTACATACAGAAATATTATTATTATTATTATTATTATTATTATTATTATTATTATTATTATTATATTTATATCCCGCCTTTTCCCCTGGACGGGGACTCAAGGCAGCTTATTCATTCTAAATCTAAATGTGAATAAAACATCTTATACAAAGTGACCCAGACCTTGCACTTGTCTTCTGAGGCTCTTCTCTGTGTCCCACCTCCTAGAGAGGTTGGGAGGGTGGCAACAAGAGAACGGGGCCTTTTCTGTGGTGGCTCCCCATTTCTGGAATGCTCTCCCCAGGGAGGCTTGCTTGGTGCTATCCTTATATGTCTTTAGGTGCCAGGCAAAATCATTCTTCTATGCCCAGACCTATGGCTATTAAATAATCAATGGTCTGTAAAAGTGGGGGGGAGAAGACTGTTATTATGAAGATTATTTTCCTATTAGGCTCTTCTGGAAGGCAGGTGGGGATGATGGACCTCCCACATCCCCTTCCATCTCACTGAGTAAGCTGCCAACTTCCCCTGCTCTTTTCAGCTTTGGAGCCCCCACCTCTCAGTGAACCTGACTGAGGCCTCCACATCTGGGGGTGTAGACGGGACCCCTTGGCCTCATCTCCACATGTTCTTCCAATACTCAACAGAAAGGCTTCTATGCCTTTGTGGAATCTGGGAAGTTCCTTCTGTTCCTCCCCTGAGGGAGCTTCCCCACGCCTCGGTGGCGCTGGCAACTCTGCCCAAAGCGGCATCTCCTGCTTTCAAGGCTAAACATTTCTTTCTCATGCTCCATTCGAGCCTCTTTTCCTTTTCCCGCTTGTCTTCTGGTTGACTGAATCTGTTTTGTTAAAAGCCCTGTTCTCTCTGTCTCCTCTTCCAGCAATTCCGCCTCCTGACTGAACCTCCCCTCAGAAGTTGTTCCCTCCGCCTGACTATCGGGGTGTGTGTGTGTGTGTGTGTGTGTGTGTGTGTGTGCCATTTCCTCACAGGAAATTTCCCCTCACAAAATATAAAACTTTCTTCTGCCTGTGGGTTTTCTTTTGTATCACAGCACTACCACCAATTCCGGCGAACCCTCTCTACATATACAGTACTCTAAAGATAACCACCACGAGTTATCCTGCGGTTTTTGTGTGAGGCAAAACTTTGATCCTTGGAGACTCAGGCAGAAGCTGAACAAATAAGAAAGATTTATTTTACAGAACAAAGTTCATAAAACCAAAGATGTGTCAGGGAACTTATTAGAACAGTTTACACTTGGAACCCCTGGAGTCTCTCACTGCTCAGAGATTGGGGAGGTATGTAACAATAGTATTAAAATAATTATACAAAAGGGTAAAACTAATCATCTTTTACTTTTTATACTTTACTTTGACAATTTAATAACAAATGCCTTTAAAGCTTCTGTAACATGTATATGGATGCTTAAAATATACAATTGAGATCTAAGCAAAATGAAGTTAAAAGTTGTCTAATGTCAATAATCCACCAGTCAAGTATGTATTAACCAACCAACCAACCCATATACTACAAAAATGTACAAAATCTCATCCTCCACAGAACAAATTATTTTTAAATGACAAGCTATGAACTTGCAATCCTAAAAGGTGTAAGAAATGAACATTTAGATATTTTGTTACCTGCACAATAATACATGTATTACAGTATCTGATGTATCACAGTATTTTAATATTCTTTCAGAAGCTGCCCAGAGTGGCTGGGGAAACCCATTATTATTATTATTATTATTATTAGCCTCCTCCTGAAAAAGGGGTTTCTAAAATAATCCAGGAAACATGTCTCATAAAAGGGTACATTATGCATTCCCTGATAAAAACTTCAGTAAAGAAGAGAGACCATTTGAACCCCTGAATATTTAAAGGGAACAGCAGATCTGTTGTCTAAACTCTTTGAAGCTAAACCATTAAAACACACCAATAAAATAATATTGTCTACAGTCCTTTTCTGTAGTTAAGTGCTATTAGAAAGCCCAAATCAGACCCAATGGCTGTGGACATTAGCGAACTCCAATGAAGGAGCCAGCCAGCTGTTATTGGTGATAATTTAATGGGATGAGATAGTGTGCTTTGTAACCAAAGAAATTCATGGTCTGGCTAAAATGAGTGCTTTAAGTAATAACGAGCATCTCCATCACATATATGCAGAGTTGTAAGTGAATTCACCTTTGGAATGAACCTTTTGAATTCACTGCATGAATAAACAAATCTGTAACTCTGGGAACTCTTACACCTCCCTGTTCCCTAACTACTGCTAGGAGGGAATTTGGGGAGAAGGTTGTTTGTGGGGAGGAAACTGGCTGAAGGGAAGGCTGACAGCAGTAGAGGGTGGCTTGGGAAGAATTGGTGGGGTGCAGATGTTTTCAAAATTTTGGGGAACTGTCAGGAACTAGAGCCTTCGGGGGAGGAAGAATTTGTTTACAAAAAAGGAGCCCGTTCCAAATTGAGACTGGGTGGAGGAGTGCTTTAAATAAATATTGAACTGAGAAGTGTGGAAAGCATCATTTATAGAACAGAAGATACCTCCCCCCCACGCCTCCTTGCTTAGTGAAAGGTTAGCACTGCAGTAAATGATACTGGATTTTGTGGCTACCTGACATAATCTCTGAAGCGTAACGCAGGTCCCTGTAACTCACAGCCATTGCCATGCCACAGCTTAACATGCCCTTTTGAAATATGGTTTACAACTGGCACAAATCACTTTTGTACAGCTGTGCATTCAGCTTCATAAAATACACATTAGATAACAGGGACAGTTGCCAAGGATTATTGGACCAGAACCAAAGTATTTGGAGATAGAGAGGAGAAGCTCTGTTCTTTGTGCAATCATCCATTGAGACCATGTAGATGAGACAGTCGCAATAGTTCTTTTCATCAGCAACCAATTGATGTTGATTACACCCTTTGAGTCACAAAGGCAAGTGATATTCTTGTCAAACGTGGCAGGCCTTTGTTTCACACAAGTCACCTGTTGTCTAATCAGTGGTGTAGGAAATTGATTATGTAAGAATACAGTCTCTTCTTCCAAGCCTTCTGCCAATTTCCCTGCCTTTCGTTTCTTCCTTTCCTGCCTGAAGTTGCTTTGAACAATATATACCTGGTGTGGTAATACTAGACTTCTGCATGTGGAAGTCAATCAGAACAAACTTCTCTCTCTCTCTCTCTCTCTCTCTCTCTCTCTCTCTCTCTCTCTCTCTCCCTCACCCCCCCCCCCAGTTTTCCATTTCTCCATGGTTTGCATTCAGTTTTGGTAATAAGAGATATTTGGAAAATTACTCTGCCATAGCTTCTGGGTTCTTACAAAGCCAGAAGCCTTGGAAATTCCCCAGGATTCACTCACTGGTTCAAGAAGCAGCCGTCCTTTTTACATGTGTGCACACCCACACCCACACCCACACATACACAAACACACATTCAGTCCTGATGGGGACTGAATTCATTTAAAAGTCAATAAGAAATTTAAAAGAATTTCAGTATGGATTGTAAAAAGCTTGTTATTTTCTACCGAGGGGGAGGTTCTTGGGTGTTCTTCCAAACCCCCACAGTGCTGAAACTCAGCGGCATGACCAGTTAAAGGTCACACAACCTTTAACCCATTTATTATTTATTTAAATACATTTATTTTCTACATCTTGCTGTCTTGTTTTGTGTACAGAAACATGTAGGCACCTCCCTAAAAAGCAACAACAACAGGGAGAAAAGCAATACAGAGTTCTGGAATGAAATAAAAACAGAAGACCTGTATACCAAATTACAAGCATACTTCAATGAATATCAGATGGTTTTTAAATACCCCAACCATAAGGAAGAATGAGAAACTTGAGGGATATGGGAAACTCCCTCCTTGTTAGTAAATTCAAAGAAGGGAAACCAATCTGCATTGAAATACATTTCGAGACTGTTTAACATTCAGAAATCTCAAATTGTTCTACAATAATGCAACATAGAAACAAGAATTCAGTATTAACAGTCCAAAAGGCCAGGGAAAGTCTAGGCAAAAAGATATGTCTTTATAAGATATCTGAACCAAGTGATGGATTCGTGGCAGGCCAAGGAATATTCCACAATGCAGAGGCAACAGCTGGAAATTGCCATTTTCCTGTGATGTTCTGTAGGATGGTGCTTATTTCTTTTTCATGTTTCTGTAAGCTGTTATTAATGAAATTTGTTCATTAAAAAAATACAGTCTGTTCCCACAGTTCCCCTGCTGAGATTCTGTGATGATTGTAACACCCCCTAAGAACCCACTGGAGAACCTGCTTCAAGGCTAGTTCTCGAGATTGGGTCTGAGCAGTATGGCTTGTGCAGGAGAATTTCCTAGTAGACAAAGCAATTGTGTTCAGGATCTAATTTGGACAGTGAAAGTGAAACTACTGTACTTTTGAACACAAATTTATTGCCTTTGTTCTCAAGACAATGAATGTACGGTGGTACATCGGGTTAAGAACTTAATTCATTCCGGAGGTCCGTTCTTAACCTGAAACTGTTCTTAACCTGAGGTACCACTTTAGCTAATGGGGCCTCCCACTGCCACCGCACCACAATTTCTGTTCTCATCCTGAGGTAAAGTTCTTAACCCGAGGTACTACTTCCAGGTTAGCGGAGTTTGTAACCCGAGGCACCACTGTATCTTCAAGCCACACTTCAGAGTGTCTGCCTGTCTGCATCCTAAGTTTTATTTTAAGCCTATCAGTTTTAAGCCATTGTTCTTCTGCAGAATTTAAAACTTTCTATGAAACAATTTATGTATGTTTTGCCCCCTCAAGAGATCTTAATGCATTTGCAATTCAGATGTCCATGAAACTGTACATAAATATTATAAAAAGAGGATGTCTTTGGAGGGAACCTTTAAAAGATGTGACTTCATTAATATGTAATATATTACTCCATTGTACATTTTCTACAATCAAGACAATCTCAATGCGTCTTATTTGTATTCCGGCCAAATAGATTTCTTGTGTACTCAAACCTCGGAAGATCTCAATACAAAAATAAAGGCAGAGGATTAATGTATCTGTTGACTTCATTATACTTTCACATTCATTTCTGATTTGTTAATATTCAGTCAAGAATTATAAAAACTTTGCCATCATAATTTTTACTCAATGAGATATAAAAGCCGAGTCATTAGGAACATGGACCTCTGCCATGGGAACAATTACAGCCGCTCGTAGTCAGAGACTGTAGAACCAGAGATGTTTATGAGACTCATGTCAGAATTATGGGATTGACTATCCTTCCTTTCTGGCTCTTGACTCAAGCTCCTTGGCTGCAAGCTTTAGAAGCAAGGAGTTCAGAAACAAAGGCAAACATTTCGGGAAGAAATTATTCTGGAACCCTAAGTACATGGTGCTGAAGAACCAGATAGTGCAATTTCCACAGAGAAATATTGTAGGGCTGAGTCTGATGTTCTACAGGTTTCCTATTGACACCCATGCTGCTGATTTTACAAGGGAGCTGGCAGCTTTTACGTTAATCGCTTGCTACTGTTTTGAGCCACTACTGTCCTCTCTGTGAGGAGCTTCTGATTACCATCCTACATGGTAAGTTGCATTGCTGCAACTTCTTGGTACAGTGATAGATAATGCTGATCACATGTGGCAAGCAGTGTCTCTACAGCTTCTCAGAGAAGAACTTTCTGGATTGATGTGGCCCAGGGTGGCCATTGGCTCCTACTGGGAAGGAAGAACAATGAGATGGTTTCCTATCGCAATGAAACATTGCCTGGCCAATGAGATCTACCCAAGCTATGTCTGAAATTCACGGCGTGTACCACCCTAAAAGAAAATAAAATGAAAATGATGTACCGCTGGTATAGCACCCCTGTCGAACTAGCAAAAATGTACAATATGAGTAACAAAGCATGCTGGAAATGCAAAACAAAAGACGGTGAATTTTTCCACATGTGGTGGACATGTGAAAAAAAGAAAAAAATTGGGATATGATTTATAATGATTTTTTTAAAAAATTTAAATATACTTCCCCAAAAAAACCAGAGGCAGTTTTGCTGGGGATGATAGGTGATGAACTAAAAAAAGCAGACCATAAATTATTTATGTACGCCATGACCGCCACCAGGATTTTAGTAGCCCAAAAATTGAAAACCCAGGAAATACCAACATTAATGGAGTGGCAGACAAAAAGGGTCGAATATGTAGAATTGGCGAAACTGACCCACAGGATCCGGAACCATGGGGAAACAAAGTTCAAAAAAGAATGGAGTAAATTTGTTGACTACATAGGTAACAACTGTAGAAGCTTAAAGACTGTAGCAGGAATGAAATGAATCTTGTGATGTGGATAGTAATTAAGAATCTGTGAGAGTGGAAATTTAATATGAAAGCTGGATGAAGGGAGGGAGGGAAGTCCGGGCGTGATAGTACATGTGGTAATAAGTAGACATACAATTGTTGAACTGCAAAGTATTTATTTTGTTTGTTTATGTTATAGAAAACTTAATAAAAAGCATTAAAAAAGAAGAAGAGATCTACCCAAGCTATAAGGTGTCTTGTGTTTCTGGTCCTGCCTCTTGGTTTGCCTTCTGCTCTGGATTGCATTTATGTCCTGACTCTGGTTCTCAGCTCCTTACTAATCTCAGGCAGCCGCTCTGGGCCCAGTCCAGAAACTCACTTGCTGCTGCTATGCATCACCCCCCCCTCCCCAGCTGTTTCATTCATCCTGAAGTGATCCTAACAAATCAGGGGTCGCATACTAGGCATGGTGATACCACAAGCCAGGTTTATCTATTTCCTGATATTAAAATGAAGCCTATATTCATGAGACAACCTTTCCCAGTTCACTTCTCTGGATGTAGAGGTGCAGAGCGGCAACCACCCTCCAAAGTCTAATGAATATGAACAATGTTTATTTATAGGTTAGACACAATGAACAGAACCAATTAATTAGCAAGAATAACAATGAATAAGCAACAACCAAACACAAACAGTAAACCACAGTTGATTGCATGGTACAATGTCAGCAATCTGTTGTGTGTCAAATATGTATTATACAAATTGTGAACAGTGGTGTTGCAATGCTGTGTGGTAATTTTATTTTTGTTTGTGAATACCGTTGCCCTAGGATCACACTCTGCCCTCTTCACTAGACTGCACTTCCTGCCACTTGAGAAGGAAATGGGAAGCCCAACCTGGCTCAATCCCTCGGCCAAAGAAGAAACTGTGAGGAGTTTGCTTTCCTCCCCTCCCTTCAAGAAAGAACACTCTGCTCTAACTGCCAGTTTCCCTGGCAGTGCAGAGATTAAAGAAGGAACACTCTGGCCTCTCCCAGCAAATTGGGCACCAACAGCCACCAGCAGTCTGTGCCCCCTTCCTCCCAGGAAGAACATCATGGCAAGGAAGAGAACAAACCAGCCCTGGCAATCAGCCAGAGAAGGAGTAACTGCAGGGAAGTATATGTGTGTAGATTCCACCCAGATCTTTAGAGATAGATCAGAACAAATGGCAATCTGGTAAAACCCGAATTGCTGTTTGTTCCAGCTGAGAACTAAAGAGCGGTTTCCCCAGGGGGGGAGCTGCAGGACAAGAAGTGTGGATAAGCTCTAAGTTGGCTGCATCCATTGAACAGAGAAAGTGCAGCTGCTCCAGTGCCTGCTTTCCTTTCTCTGCCTTGCTTTCCCTTTCGTATTGTGCCTGTTCCTGTGAGACTTTTGATATAAATGCACAGTATTTTTTAAAGTGTTAAATGCTTTCTAAATCTTGACAATATGAAACAATGAAGGGTGTTTTGAGTGAAGGCAGTACTTCCAAACCAGATCCAATGGGCTAATAATCAGATTTTTAAACAAACTACTACAACAACTAATTTAAATTCCTGGGAAGATTTTCACAAAATCTTCCTCTCCATTTTAGCCCACCTGTATAATTTGAAGTTGAATATTTTATGCCCTGGGCAATAATCATTACTTGATCTATATAAATAGCTATGTGCATGCGTGCTTTTAACAAATATATGTAACTTCATGAGCAGCTGTTATAATGATCCTTCTATAGCAACAAATTCCATGGAATCACCTGAGGCCACAACAGGCATTTTCTACAATAATCAATATGCTAAAGTGATATAATTCCATATCTACATTCCACATCCTGGTTGAGAGCAATTGCAATTAGTCCAAACAGTCACAAGAGGATTTCCAGTTCTTGGATGGCCTGGTTTGTTCTCGGGGCAGCAGGGACCATCAGTGCAGATCTGAGTCAATGCCACACAACACCTGTACAATTAACTCGAACTTTAAAACTGTATGTGCCACTCTGCCACTGCTTTTCTTTCTCAGATGTAATAATATTTGCAAACTTCTTGTTGTCTGTTTGGTACACTTATTTGCAAAAAAACAAAAAAAAAACACCATAGTTTTTTGCTTCAGGAGAGGCAAATCATGGGTATTCAGAGCACCGTGAGAGAAGTTGTTTCTTCTGTGAAGGATCTAATGTGACAGTTTTTGCTGTAGCTGTTTCTGAAATAAAGGTTGACATATTAAGCACAAAGCTTTACATCAAGGTGCATAATCTCAACCACATTATATGCAGGAAGGTGTGTCACTGCAATCGGGTTTTTTCCTCAAACAGGAAATATTGCTACTGAAAAGTGTACAGTTACAGTTTTTGCCGACAGCCACAGAAGTCTTATATATATATATATTTCCAATGACAACAGGAATCTTACATACACAAACACCTGGCTTTTCATGTCTAAAGTATGGAAGAGGTAAGGAGAGGAACCACAGTGTTTCTTATTAATACACAAAACAGTGCAAGCTTTAAACAACAACAGCCAAAGAACATCCACAGGCAATTAAAAATAGGAGCAATAAGAAGCACCTATAAGGCACAATTTCAGTGAGTTTCCTGAGGTCAAGGGTTGCATTTTTTGTTTGCAAACAGTTACAACAGAATGTAGGATGAAACAAATGTAAAAGCATTGGAATGGAAAACTGCTTATTAAATTTAGGATCTGTTTGAGCTTGCAAGCAATTGTGTGGCATCATATTTTGTCTTTTGTCAAATCTGCCTGTGACTCTTTGGAAAGGGAAACAAAAGGGCACATCAGCTTACCAAATGCTCTCATAAATGAGTAAAGAATTTATTTTTATATCTGCTCTCTATTCTGACCATGCAAGGTTGGAGTATGACAAGTCTATTGTAAACAGCTTTCTCCTTGACAGGCTGTGTCACCTGGAAGAGCAATACATCCATGGTGATGGAATTTACATGCGAGCTCCAGGACTTGCAATGCTTATCTGTCATACTTTGGGGTAAAAAAAGAAGTGGCCACTAAGCTTTAAGAAAGCCTTCGCTGTGATTTACAAGCAAAATATTACCATGTTCATTACGGGAAAGTCAAAATGACTTACTCTTGGCCTCATAAACGTTTTGATATCATGAAGGAGACTTGCAAGAAAAGAAAAGTACAGAAAAGAAAAGAATGCTGGTTCTGAAACACAAAGTTTTCTCATTTTTACCTTTGTCTGTGCCTCATTTAAGATTTCAGCTCTTCTGACAACAAAAAGAGCAAATGCCGTCCACATCAGTTAAACTCCTGTGGCTGGTTCACACATGCATATTCACTACCTGATGGCTGCAAATCAGCATTGATTTGCATGCATGAAACAGTCATCTACACACAGCAGCTGAAACTTTCAAATCCCCTCATGTGACCTCAAACAAAGTCCTCTAGTGTGAGTCAGCACACATTCGGCAGCAAGACGTGCTTATGCAGTAGTGGAGGGTGGGGAGGGTGGTCAGTCACATCACTGCTGCCAATCTGATGCTCCCTCCAGTGTGCCTACACCACACCAACCTTGCCACTGCTCCCTTCACCTCCCAGTAAACACCAGCAATGTCAAGCAAGCACCTCTGCCTCACCATGGCACTATAGCTATGTGAAGCAGCCTTTAATGTTTCGGGGGCGGTCAGTCTTTCCCAATAAATATCCCATCTTCACAACACTCCATTATCCCTGCACCAGGTACAAATTACTAGCCTTTGAAGGACCATATCTAACATGGCTTCAATAAACACAGATTTTTTAAAAATACTAGTAAATACCGTTGTAGTATCGTTCACAATAGCCTTCAAGGTTCAACAAGACTCTGCTGTTTGGTCTGTAGAACATGAGCAATTTTAATTGCCCCTTTTGGATATGCAAGGAAAACATCCTCTGTGTTCCCACCTTCCTACTCTTGTTCTTCCTTGAGGATGTAGAATGTCCTGGAGCTGACCTTTCATAAGAACAATGGAATGATGCATCTGGAGTCAAAAAGGAACTGGTAGGATTTTCCCCCAGACTAGTGTAATTAAAACTCCATCCTTTCCTGCAAAGCAGCACTATTGTCTATGATCTATATATGGATCTGCAGATGGTCAGGTATTCTTCTTAACAATACATAAAATGTTAACAATACATAAAGTAAATATAGATCCTTTGGATAAATGGTCCAGATCTTCCTAGTGGACATACTGATAACATATATCAACTGAAAAACAGTATTATATGAACACAATTGAATAATATATAACTTATTTAGACATTGCAGTAAGGTATCTTGTGCTGTGATCTCATTTGTCCATAATGCAATAATGTAGTATGTCTTTAATTACATTGGTTTTCAAAGCAAGTCGCAAAGGCCAACATTATTACTCTAAGTCAAGACGGTGTAATCTTGAGATTATTTTACTTCATATACATGCCTAAATAGAATAAAGAATAAATATGAAGAGAAAATATTCCTGAATTATCTGCTCATGGTCAGCCTCTTTCATGACTGCTTATGTGGAAAAACTTGTTTCACAATTTGCCTGAATTAACTGGATACCTCAGCTGCAAAGTATGCAAAATATCTGGGATCTAATCCTTCCTGGGTTTAACAACTTTTGATTTTGCTACCACCTGGAACCAGGAAAGGGAGAACCAAAGCAGAAATTGACAGCTTAGGACAGCTGGAACTTCTGGTAATAGGAACGGTAGAGTCAAGATGAAGTGGAAGGTCAGGGCCAGATCCAGATCAAGAGAGAATGCATTGCAAAAATGTGCATTACTACTACTACTATTATTACTATTCTATTAGTACCCTACCCATCTGACGGGGTTGTTTCAGCTTCCTACAGATATAAAAACATAATGAAACGATGGCTTATGAGGAACGGCTAAGGGAGCTGGGCATGTTTAGCCTGGAGAAGAGGAGGTTAAGGGGTGATATGATAGCCATGTTCAAATATATAAAAGGATGTCACATAGAGGAGGGAGAAAGGTTGTTTTCTGCTGCTCCAGAGAAGCGGACACGGAGCAATGGATCCAAACTACAAGAAAGAAGATTCCACCTAAACATTAGGAAGAACTTCCTGACAGTAAGAGCTGTTCGACAGTGGAATTTGCTGCCAAGGAGTGTGGTGGAGTCTCCTTCTTTGGAGGTCTTTAAGCAGAGGCTTGACAACCATATGTCAGGAGTGCTCTGATGGTGTTTCCTGCTTGGCAGGGGGTTGGACTCGATGGCCCTTGTGGTCTCTTCCAACTCTATGATTCTATGATTCTATGAAACAAAAAACATTAAAAACCTTCTTATACAGGGCTGCTTTCAAATGTCTTCTAAATGTCATATATCTGTTTATCTACTTGACACCTGATGTTCCACAGGGCGGGTGCCATCACCAAGAAGGTCCTCTGCCTGGTTCCCTGCAACTTCACTTCTTGCAGTGAGGAAACCGCCAGAAGTCCCTCGCAGGCAAAATTGCATGTTTCTTAGGAGAATTCACGCCGAAATGCAGACAAATTTTACAAGGAAGAGAAGAAGTAGGAATAATATGTGCATCCACTTTTATGCTAGCAAGGGCGAATTGGCTTACCTCCCACTTGGGGAGATGTGAGAGCTCCAGATATGGAAAACTACCATGTGTAGCTTTGTCCATCACACATTATAGCTGAAGCATGAAAACAGGAGACAAAACTTATTCACTCTTCCTATAAAATGCTAAATATTAATCTGGCCAATTAATAGGCTTAACTATCTGTATGTCTGTATAAGATGGTGTGTGGTACATTCTGCTGTCGTTTTTTTTTTTTAAAGTAATATTTCAGCACCTTATTTCAAGATCATTCCAAATTTGAAACTGCTCTGTGAATATAATTAATATGTGTATTGCAGACCCATAACATTAACAGTTTGTTCTCAGGTAGTAAATGAGTTTTGCATCCCAAAGAAGCCATGTAGCCTTCTCTCCTTCTGAAAATAAAATTAAAAAGTGATAAGCTTCAGAGCCAGAGGAAGCTGTAGCCAATCCACCCTCTGTGGAGGGGGAGAATGTGTGTTTTCAGGTTTTACGTGCTATCTGGTTCTGAGAATCACTCTTCAAGCTGGCAGCTTCATTGCCAGGGTCACAAAGCAACAACATTAAGCCAACAGGCGCATGGACTGATTTCAAGCCCAGGTGCTGAGCAATTTGAAATGCACAAGCTCCTTCTTGTGAAACAATCCTTCACTCAGAGAGTGCTATTGTCCTGAGGACACCATGAATGGCATGCCTGGTGAATGGGCACATCTTTCCTTGCCTGCTAGGGAAAGTTCTAGGCAAATGTGCAAAATGGGAGAACTTGCCTGCCCTTCCCTGATTTGCATGATTTTTAAAAAATATGTTTTTATTAAAAAACTATATACCACTCTATCATAAATATATATAACAGC